TATGACTTCTGTTATAACCCTCATAACATAGTAAAGTTACTATCAGTTTACTTATCTACATGGACCATGAACAGGGATCTTTCTTTCTTGCTTGCTTTCTTTCTTTCGTTTTATATTTCATGAGTATGAGGGAGATACTGGGTAAATGTATATTGAATGGATAAATGGACCAGTTTTCCCTTCATTTCTCTCTCCCTTCTTTCTTCTTCCTTCCCTCTTATTCTTCTCTTCTACTTTCTTTCCTTCTTCCTTCCTTTCTACCAAACTTCTTCTCTTCCTTCACTCTCAAACCTGGCCCTTGATGCATTATCTTAGTTATTCTTCACAGGAACTCTGTGAGATAAGCATTATGATTATCCCCATTTTGCAGGTGTGGAAACAGAAGATCAGAGTGATAGGCAACTTGCCCATCCAACCCCTTACAGAGCTGTCTTCCAATGTTGCTGTCTCTGCTCAAAGCATTTTGGCAGTTTTTCCTTGGAATTCCCTTTTGGCCAGTCTGTGAACCATATAAGAAAACCAATCAGTTTTGGTCACTCTCAGAAAGGATGATTCCCAGTCTGATCATCCCAATTCATGTTTGTTTCCAAATAAACCTAGATCATCTCATAAATCTGTTTTGTGCTAGTCTCAGTCTATCAAAAACCAGTATTGTTGTTGGATTAACCCTTGTGGTTCTTAGTATGACTGCAAGATGCCCTCCAGCAATAACCATCAAGAAACTTTGAAAAAAAATAGAGGTTTATCATTTAAAGAACCTAGAAATTGCACAGCAGAGTTGGGGCCATACAGTGAGGTCATCGGTAGAGAGTGCATGGCTCTGGTTCTGCTTTTATTGGGGTCAAGGGTGGGGGCCTAGGGTTTTGTGGGCTCATTCTTTATTGGTGAATTTAAAACATAAGAGGAAAGATTTAAAGTGTGGGAAGAGAAGAAACAAGTGGCTCAAAACGTCGGTGATTGAAATCAATCAAGATCTCTAAAAGGAGACTCAGTTGGGGCAGGCAGTCTGTCTCTTACCTAGTCATGTGGTTGATAATGTGTTTATTCAAGGTAGCCATCATTGAAGTGGATGCCTCTTTAAAGTGGATGCCTTGGCAATCAGATCTTAAGTCAGGCACTTTCAGTGCAAAAAAGAAAGAAGACAATTGTCAGGGCTTATGCAAGGATGCCCACTCTTGCCACTTTTATTCAACATATTATTAGAACTCCTAGCCACAATAATTAGGCAAGAAAAAGAAATAAAAGGCATCCAAATTGGTAAGGAGGGGGTAAAACTGTCACCATTTGCAGATGACATGATATTATATATAGAAAAAAAGAAAAACCTATTAGAACTAACAAATGAATTCAGTAAAGTTGCAGGATACAAAATTAACATGCAGAAATCAGTTGCTTTTCTATATACTAATAATCTATCAGAAAGAGAAATTAAGAGAATAATTCCATTTATAATTGCATCAAAAATAATAAAATATCTAGGAATAAATTTAATCAAGGAGGTGAAAGTCCTGTACTCTGAAAACTGTAAGACATTAATGAAAGATATTTGAGATGACACCAGCAAATGGAAAGATATGCCATGCTCATGGATTGGAAGAATTAATATTGTTAAATTAATATTGTTCAAATGTCCATACCCAGAGCAATCTACAGATTCAGTGCAATCTCCATCACAATACCAATGACATTTTTCACAGAACTAGAGCAAAGAATCCTAAAATTTGTGTGGAATCACAGAAAACCCCAATTAGCCAAAACAGTCTTGAGAAAGAACAAAGCAGGAGGTATCATACTTCCTGGTTTCAAGCTATACTGCAAAGCTATAGTAATTAAAACTATATGGTACTGACATGGAAACAGACACATAGATTTTATTAATTTTTATTTATTTATTTGACAGAGAGAGACACAGTGAAAGAGGGAACACAAGCAGGGGGAGAGGGAGAAGCAGACTCCCAGCTGAGCAGGGAGCCCGATGCGGGGCTCGATCCCAGGATCCTGGGATCATGACCTGAGCCGAAGGCAGACGCTTAACGACTGAGCCACCCAGGTGCCCCAACAGACACATAGATTAATGGAAGAGAATAGAGTCCAGAAATAAACTCTCACATATATGGTCAGCTAATCTATTCCAGAAGAGGCAAGAATATAAAATAGGAAAGAGACCAGACTCTTCAATAAATGGTGCTGGGAAAACTGGACAGCTACATGCTAGAGTGAAACTAGACCACTATCTTACACCATATATAAAAATAAATTCAAAATGGATTAAAGACTTGAATGTAAGGCCTAAAATCATAGAACTCTTAGAAGAAAACATAGGCAATAAGCCCTTTGACATCAGTCTTAGCAATATTTTTCCAGTCAGTCTCCTCCAGCAAGGGCAATAAAAGCTTAAATAAACAAATGGGATTGCATCACAATAGAAAGCTTTACACAGCAAAAAAGACCAGCAACAAAATGAAAAGGCAACCTACTGCATGAGAGAAAATATTTTCAAATCATATATCTGATAGGGGGTTAATATCAAAATATATAAATAACTTACATAAATTACTAGTAAAAAAACAACCTGATTGAAAAATGGGCAGAGGACATGAATAAACATTTTTCTAAGGAAGACATACAGATGGTCAATAGCACATGAAAAGATGCTCAACGTTGCTGATTGTCAGGGAAATGCAAATCAAAACCACGTTGAGATATCACCTCACACCTGTCAGACTGGCTATTATCAAAAAGATGAAAAAAATAACAAGTGTTGTTGAGGATATGGAGAAAAGGGAATTCTTCTACTCTGTTGGTGGGAAGGTAAATTGGTGCGACCACTATGGGAAACAGTATGGAGGTTCTTCAATTTAATCCTTTTGCATGTAGGTGTCCAATTTTGCCAACACCACTTATTGAAGAGTCTGTTTTTTCCCCCTTTTAAATTCTTGCCTCCTTTGTCAAAGATTAGTTGACCATATAAGCATGGGTTTATTTCTGAACTTTCTATCCTGTTCAGTTGATCTATATGGCTAATTTTATGCCAGTACCATACTCTTTTGATTATTATAGCTTTGTAGTATATCTTGACATCTGGGATTGTGTTACTTCCAGTTTTGTTCATCTTTTTCAAGATTGTTTTGGCTTTTTGAGGTCTTTTGTGATTCCACACAAATTTTGAATAATTTGTTCTAGTTCTGAGAAAAAATACTATTGGTATTTTGATAGGGATTGCACTGAATCTAGATTGCCATGGGTAGAATGGACATTTTAACAATATTAATCCTGGGATGCCTGGGTGGCTTAGTTAAGTGTCCAACTCTTGATTTTGGCTCAGGTCATGATCTCAGGTTTGTGAGATCGAGCCCTGTGTCAGGCTCCACACTGGGTGTGGAGCCTGCTTAAGATTCTGTCACTCTCCCTCTCTCAAACAAACAAACAAACAATATTAATTCTTCCAATCCATGGGCATGGAATATCTCTTTGTGTGTTGTCTTCAGTTTCTTTCATCAGTGTCTTATAGTTTTCAGTGTAGAGATCTTTAACTTCCTTGGTTAAATTTATTCCTAGGTATTTTATTCTTCTTTGTGAAATTGTAAATGGGATTGTTTTCTTAATTTCTCTTTCTTCTATTTCATTATTAGCCTGAAGAAATGCAACAGATTTCTTTCTTTTTTGGGAGGGGGAGAGAGAGAGAGTGAGGAGGGCTGTGGGGGGAGAGGCAAAGGGAGAGGGACAGAGAGAATCTTAAGCAGGCTCCACATCCAGCACAGTGCCTGATGTGGGGCTTGATCTCACGACCCTGAGATCATGACCTGAGCCAAAATCAAGAGTCAGATGCTTAACCAACTGAGCCACCCAGACACCCCACAACAGATTTCTTTATATTAATTTTGTGTCCTGCACCTTCTTTTGGAATGATGAAACTGTTCTAAAATGTATTGTGTGGATGGTTGCACAACTCTGTGAATACCAAAAACCACTGAATTTTACACTTTACAGGAGTGAATTTTCTTTATAAAATTCATAATTACCATCATTAAATACATACCAGGTGCTCACTCCCAGTCACTGTCCTTTGAGGCACTGTGGCACATGGATGAGAAAGAGAATACTTGTTCTTTGTGCTCTGGGAATGTCTCAGTGGGTGTTCTTAAATGGAAAGATGAAATAGATCCACAAATAGTTTAATCAAGGTGTTGCAATACTCAGTGCTAATCTCTGGGCATAGACCACACTCAGAAAGATCTCACCACCTCTTGGTGCCAGCTTTAGGAATTCAGAAAGATTTTGAAATGTGGACTGTTCCAATATTTATATAACTTAGACATAGTATTATTTATGGCTTACAGTACTGTGAGGTACCTGGGGGCAGGAGCTATGCCCTGTGTTCATTTTGATTCCCTTGCTTAGCGTTGTGTCCGGTCTACTGGCTGGTGATTGAATTTCGAAGTGTCCTGGTTTGTTCCTAGGACAAAAATGCCTTCAAGCTTATGGCTGCCTATTCTGACCAGCCTGAGGGTTGGCCCTGTGGGGAAGGTGTTGCAGAATTCACCAACTGTCCTCATGCAACTGTTTCTTTTCTCATAACCGGTAACTATTTTGTTTCTTTGGTGTTTTTACTCTGATTTTGGTTCAAATGGTGACTTGGAATAATATGTGGGTACTTCTGGAGTGTTGTGCTTTCTTTCCTGGTAGTATACTGAAGACTTTGGGTTCCTGGGTCAGTGAGATTTAGGAAAACAAAAGGTGGAATTAACCTCACTTTCTTCTTCTTCTTTTTTTTTCTTTTGATCATATTTATCAAACAGCAGTGCTATAGATTTTGTGTAGCTTATGGATCTTTGCTGTAATAAGAAATTGTTTTTCTTTTTTCTTTTTTTTTCTCTGTGAAGGTACTTTATGTTGATTCTTTCTGTTAAATATCCTTGGCTTGCACTAGACTTTTCTTTGTGTTGATTTTTTGCTTCATTTTCTTTTTTTTTTTTTTCTCCATTTCCCACGCTGTTCAGTTACTGGATGCCAGAAGAACCAAGGTTTGTCCACTCTTTGCGGCTTGTTTGTTTTGTTCTGCACAGCCTCACCTCCTTGTGTTTGTGTCCGTCCCTGTCTGCATTTGTTCCCTTTTGCTTGCAGATGCAGTAATCCTGTTTACTAAACCTGTTCACAGCTTTATTTGTAAAAAATAAAGTCTTCGTTTGTGTCTACTTGTAGTGGATGCTATTATTTTCATTTTTTTAAATGGAAATGCATTTATCATGGGAAAAATGGATAGTAGAATAAAGAACACCTTAGGAAACAAGGAATACTGAGTCTGGAGCATTACGGGCGTAAAGAAGGTGTGTTTGTGAGACTTTCCCTTCTAATCCTTTCCACTTCCTCAACTGAAACTCTGTAGATGTATAATTTCCCTCGTGACTGACACTAATATATTGTTTCTGTGTATGTGTACATTTCTCTTCTCCTAAGACATTCAGAAAGCATCATTGAATTAATTTCCCCCTCTCCATGTGCTGTCCCATGCTTCTGAAGTCACCCTGGAGGACTTCACGGCTGGCCCTCTGGACCTACCTCATGATTAACATCCCATCTTCATGGTGTGGTAGTAGCAAATAGCATTTGGCATCTCCATTGACTTTTTCCCCTTCTTTCTCCTCTCCTGCTCCATCTTTCTCATCACAGCACCTGCAGTTGACAATCCAAGCCCTTCAAGATGAGCTTCGGACCCAGAGAGACCTCAATCACCTCCTGCAGCAAGAGAGTGGCAACCGTGGAGCTGAGCACTTCACCATTGAGCTGACTGAGGAGAACTTCCGGCGGCTCCAAGCTGAGCATGACAGACAAGCTAAGGAGCTGTTCCTTTTAAGGAAGACCTTGGAGGAAATGGAGCTGAGAATTGAAACACAGAAACAGACCCTCAATGCCCGAGACGAATCGATTAAAAAGCTTCTTGAGATGTTGCAAAGTAAAGGTTTGCCTTCTAAAAGTCTCGAGGATGACAATGAACGGACACGGCGGATGGCAGAGGCTGAGTCTCAAGTCAGCCACTTAGAAGTGATTTTAGACCAGAAAGAGAAGGAAAACATACATCTTAGAGAGGTAAGGACATTCACTCTATTTCCCCAAAGCCATATTTTACAAGTTAAAATATGTTACCAAGTTATTTTAACAGGTTGGAAGATTGCAGCCTTAACAAAATTTCCTGGCATCCGTTTTATAATCTTCCTGTCTGCTTATCACCTTTAAGCTGGAATTTTGCATTAGTTTTTTTTTCTCTGCTCACTACACATATGTTCCATTGTTACTCGACACGTATTCGGGATCCAAGTATGTGCAGCACATGCCAACTCTAAGGTGGTTTACAATTGCTTTCCCACAGATGGCCATAGTTTCAGGGTTTTTTAAGTACAATACTAAGTTTTAGATGTTTATCGAATACATCTCTCTAAAGGAGCAAAACAAATAGGTGATTAGCAAAACAATGAACCTAGATATTTTTATGGCTGAATTGGGGCAGCATTTGCAGAAAATAAAGCATTTCGATATTTCTGGGAAGAATGGTAAAATGTGCAGACCAATTTTGAACATTTAGGTTTAAGATAATCTTCGTCTGCATTTTCTTTTGTCTAGGACAAACTGTCCCAGGTTTTCTGAGTATGCATTTTGCACTTAGTGGATTAAATCATTTGAAGCCCTTCAGAGGCTCTCCAGCCTGCCACCACTATTGAATATTGGGGTGCTCAGATATCTGAGGATATGTAGTTGGATAGAGCTTAGAAAAAATGTGGGTGACAGCCAAGCTTTGAAATTTTTACAGCAGTTCCTTGCTGCTGTGGTGGATGTAGATCTCAAAAGTACCATGTAGGCAAAATGCTGAGGGAGACGCAGATCTCACAGAAAATAAGAAGCAATAAAATGGCATTAATTAGGGCGCCTGGGTGGCTCAGTTGGTTAAGCGACTGCCTTCGGCTCAGGTCATGATCCTGGACTCCCGGGATCGAGTCCCACATTGGGCTCCCTGCTCAGCTGGGGGTCTGCTTCTCCCTCTGACCCTCTTCCCTCTCATGCTCTCTGTCTCTCATTCTCTCTCTCTCAAATAAATAAAATAAAAAAAAATGGCATTAATTATATTTTTAAAATATTCTATAGCAATAAATAAAAATTCCAAAAGATATTTGCTTTCAGACCAAATTAGATTTCTTGGCATTATATACTTTTTCGGATGGGCAGTTCTTGTGAGTCATTTTTTTGGTTGTTTAGAAAACATGCTCCCATGATGGGGCTTGCTAATGTAGATGCTCCCAGGAGTTTTCTCTGATGTAGATTGTATTTGCTTAGAACATTTGAATAGACTTTTGTATCTTTAGACCTAATGTCCTTCATGCTTATTCTCCCTTGATTTATTTTCATGAGACATTAACAACATGCTTGGGAAACCACATGGCTTGGTTTTAGATTGAGATGCTTAAAGAGATGTTTTGTTGGGACTGGGTCTTCCGATCCATACTCCAAGACGCTGAATGTCATGGTTAGGCTTCTAATGATTTGTACTTCTTTGAAATCATACCCTTGTCTAAATCCATGTCCTTGAGTATAGACTGAACCTAGTGACTTGATTCTAAACAATAGAATATGCTGAAGGTAATGGGATGCCAATGTGACTTCCATGATTAGGTTATATAAGACTGTTATTTCCATCTTGTAAGCATACTATTGTGTTCTCAACTTGCCTGCTTTGATGAAGCAAGCTGCCATGTGAGAGAGGCCCATGTGGCAAGGGACTGAGGGTAGCCTCTAGTCAACACCCAGTGAGGAGCTGAGACCCCCACTCAAACAGCCACAAAGAACTGAAAATTGCCAACAACCACTTAGCGCGCTTGGAAGTGGATCCTTTCCCAGTGCAACCTTCAGATAAGATGACAGGCCCTGGGCTGACACCTTGCTTGCATCTTTGTGAGAGACTGTGAAGCAAAGGACCCAGCTAAGCTGTGCCTGGATTCCTGACCCACAGAAACTGTGAGATAATAAATGTGTGCTGTTTTAAGCTGCTGAATTTAGGGGTAATTGGTTACACAGCAATAAATAACCAATAGAGTGGAGCATAAACTAATGTCTTCCTGCCTTACTCCCTAGACTTTACATTTAGTTTACAGAAGAGAAGAAATAACTACTGGCAGTAATCACTTGCCTGTAAAGCAACTGTGGATTTTGAAATTTTGGTTGTGTTATCTTAGAACTGTGGCTGGAGATTGCCATAGTTGAAAAAAGCTGCTGCTTTATTTTGGGTGCCAAGGGATCAAGTTGCATGTACAGCCGGGCAGTGATTCCAGGGAAACCTCCATCTGCAGCATTGACCTTGACTTCATGTTGGGGTCTTGTGGTCAGGGCAGAGTCACTATTTTTCTGTTATTAGATTCTGCTCATTAGTAGCACTAGGTAGATGGTGCCTTGATACTGTTGTGCGGATGCCTCCACTTAAATGAATCTAAACAAAATTCAATTTGTGTTTTACAAGATTAGTTTGCCCTCACAGTGATCTGGCATGGAAATAGATCATGTTCAGAGCCTTAACCATCAGTCTGAGAGCCCACAGAGAGTGGTACAGAAAATTCAGCCCAACACATCCAGCTAGTTTCCTTGAGCATCAGATGAAATCAGTGGATTGCCTTTTTCTTGGCTTATCAAGAAGGTGCATGTGGAAAAGGTGTCTCTATATAAAAATCTCATTTTAAACTTAACTCAACAAAAAGACTTGGAGGCCTGAAAGGATGTTCCCCAAGAGAAGGATTGTACTGGCTTCTGAGAACCATTTGTTACATTTTCAGAAATTTTGTGAGCCTGCTTTTAAACCATTGATAACTTGAAATTAGTCATGGTGGGAATATTTATACCATGGAAATCAGCAAATGCTACCCCCAGGGCCTACGCCTCTGCCACCCCATCCCTAAAGCCCATTTACCAACACATCTCTGAATAAATGCCATGAAATGTTTACCCACAATACAGCAAGAAAAGGCAAGTTAAATAGTGCAAGAATTATGAGTGCCTTAACCACTCATCATTCCTTAGAAGTTTTCATAACAGCATCTGTATAGATGCTTATGTTTCAAACACTTCAAAGAATGCTCTCATTTATTCATATTTAACTCCCACAACTACCTCATGCATTCATTTATCCATCCATTCAATGAGCACTTACTGAGGATCTGTTTTGGGATAAAGCAATCATAACTAATAAAGTTTGACTTCATCGTGCTTATATTCTGTGGGGATGAAACATAATTTAATAGTTAAACAGAGAAGTATCATGAAGAAAAGAAGACGATGAAGAACTAGTGACTTGGGTGGGGCCAACTTGATATTGGGTGATTAGGGAAGGCCTCTTGGAGGGGGTGATATTGTGAACTGAGACCTGAATGACAAGAAGGAACCAGCCATGTAAAGCTCTCAGAAGACTGTTCCAATCATGTGGAAAGACCCATGCCTGGGAGGTAGGTGCTATTATTTGGCCCATTTTACCTGGGGGAACTGAGGAACAGGTGACACTAAGAAACTTGCTCAGCTTCCCAGTGGTGAAGCTGGTATTCGAATTGGGCTGACTCCAGAGTTTCAGCCATTAAACCATTTCATGAAATCCCTTTTCTAGAGGAATCTTTCCCAAAATGTGCTCTTCAGACCAGCCATTCTGTGGGATGCTGATAATGCGCTATGAGAGAAAAAGGGCTGCAGGGCCAAATGAACTTGGGAAAATGCTGGATTCTGTAGAGTTTACTGTAGGACTTCTTAGATTCCTTAATATGCAAGTGTGCATCAGTCATTCCCAGGAAGGGGAAGGTCTCAGGCTTATTTAACTTGCTTTTGTCTTGCTGCACTGGTGTTCTTTGTAAAAACACTTCGGAAAAAAGCTATGCTGGAAAATAAAAAGTGTGCTTTTAACTTGTGACCTGCAAAATGTGTAAAAATATACAAATAGTTGTTTCCCATGGCCAAGTAACTGGGTAATTTCCTCCATTAGTTATTCTAGAAGGCAAAGTTTATTATAAGCTGTTTCCATATTCTCTACTGAGTTTTAGAATGTTCTTCTGTCAGGGTATTTTTTTTTACATTTTAGTGGAAAAATGTGGCTGACTGCTTTTGGTATTAAAGCGGTAAGAATAGCCCAGCTTGAATAAAGAAGTAGCCTGACCTCTGTTAATTTAAATGAATCTAAAACAATTTAAAATGTACTTGAGGTTTTAAGTTCAGTGTGTTCTGATTTCTTTTCCATTTTGCACGGTTCAACCTGGTTTGGGGCTAGATGGTGTAATACTGGAGAATGGAGTGCTAGTGGTTTTATGATTCATTCTCAGGCAGAGGTGTTGGGCCTCATATAAACCCCATCTCCTGGAATACTGGTCTTGTTTAGCCTATTGTTTGAGGAGATTTTGAGTTGGCAGGAGTTGCACATGGGGAGGGTTGGGTTGCTTTAGCATCGTGTTATCTTTTGGTGGTCTGGAAAAGGCTGAGGGCGAAACCACTTCTTTGCCTGGCAGGAAACAACAACAAAAAGACTATGATCTCAACTTATTTGGAAGACCAAAACCATTGCCCAAGAACTACAACTGATGTGCTAATGTGAGCCGAAGTGTTGGCTGAAACACAGCATTACTCACTAGTGTCGTGGGATGCTTTTGCATACAGGTTGATTTGATAAGACGTTATTGGATGTGGTAATAATTTACCTTGTTCTCTAGCTTTTTCTGCACAGAACATATTTTTCCCTGTAAAGGTTTTGGTAATCAAGTACCCCAAATACTATTGATTTCATTAAAGAAAAAGTGGGCTTATATGCCAGATTCTCCTATATTCAATTCACTCTCCTTAATATTTCCTTGGCTGGTCCTTAGAAGAGAGTCAGGAATCTCAGGACTCATTGCACTGTAGGATGTTTGAAGGGAAGGGTATATGTTCTGCTGACATGTCTGTGGATTTCCTGTGCTAATCCCTTTGGGCGGCTTGCCCATCTTTGGTAGCAAGGGCTGAAGAGCAATCAAGTCATTGGGGGCCACAGTTGCTACTAACCCAGGAGACTAGGACTGGGCTTCCCAACATGCTGCAGT